ACAAATCCCATACTTATGATATATATAATAATTAATCTAAAATTCTTATAATCAACATATTATATTATTAAATATTTAATTTCATTTCATTTCAAAATATTTTAAGTGACTAATTTTTCAAAGATATCATTTTTGGTAATTTTACATGTTTACCAACTAGTTTTTGTCAAATATGATTTATTCATCAGCTAGTTTGCCAAGCATAACCTAAGAAAGGTTATGTTCGAGAGTGTTTTTCATAGATGAAATGAATGCGCTTTTTGATTGGGAGACAAAAATTTAGGGAAAAAAATTGTCCTATGTAAAGCTCGCACTAGAAACCTACTGAATAAGTAACTTCTATATTATCAAGTCACTACCAAATAATCATATAGAATTGACCAAATAAGCAGTACACGATTTACAGTTTATGATTACATGTTTGTCATGGTTTTTTTATTTTGAATTTATTAATGATATTTCCCTTTTTGTTTGTAATATAATTTAATTCTCCTTTCATATAACTAATGCTAGTAGACAAGTGGAATTAGGCATKTAGAAATTATATAAAAAAGCATGGTGGAAGTTTTTATGAATTAGCCCTGGGCGCATGCCACGGGATTCGACATATTTTTTAATTAGTAACCAAATGATCAAATTTAAATACATAATTAAATTAAATAATATAATATGAGTAATTAGTATACAGATATATTGAAGAAATAAATAGAGGGTTATTTAAAAACACGTAATTTATACGACAAACTAAAGTTAAAAAGTCAATTTTATACAATAATTTTCGACAGTTATCAAAGACAAATTAGATATGTAATTGAAAATCCAGTGTTATTTTATTTGGCATGTTTATGCAGATGTCAAGATTACTATTTTCTTAGGTAATGATTTGATTGAAATGTTGACATATTCGATCGAATAAAATATTATGTCAATTCGTTTTTTATGGGGTAATATATATATATATATATATATATATAGATAGATATATAATAATTATTATACTTCAGAATAATAAGAAGATAAAACAGAATTGATCCTTTTGACATGAGATCAAATATGAGCCATACAAGAAATTAAAGATCGATTTGATAGTTTCGAGATTGGTTTGATCTTGTGTTATTGTTTAATTCTCTTAGCTATTTTGTATTAACTAGAAGGGTATCCGTGCAATGGATCGAGACACATTTCTATTTCAATGTTTCGTTTTATTTTTTATCCATGTCGATATAATACGATTTTATGCGGTTTTAATAAAGTGATAATGTTTTTATTTTTAAATAAATATAAATTTGCAAAAAATATATTAATATTAGTATCAAATCAACTATTTAAAACTTTTTATTTATGTATTTTTTCTAATTCAATTTTTTTATTATAATTTAGTTTATCGTAACGAAGTAATTTAATTTAGGTTTAATAATATAATTTTTTATAAAGATAATAATTAAGTATTCTGTTAGAACTCAATAATTATCTTAATTATATTTTAGATTTTTTATATTTTAAAATGAGATGTTTATCCTCTATTTGATTATGTTTATCCATAATTAGTTACACGAATTCAAATATAGAGCTTTAATAAGTTGTACTTATGCACAATTTACTTGTAATCTTGAATTTTAAGTAATACACATTAATAAACAGTACTTCATGCATAAAAAATGGTTTTTAAGAGTTTTGGTCAAATGTTAATATAGTATAGAACTATAGATTGTTTAATTCATTGAATAGATAGGACTTCAAGCAAACCTAGACGAAGGATGATGTGATAATAAGAGTTAAGTTGAGAAGCGTAATAAAGAATCTGGATCATTGATCACTTTTAATAGTCACTCATACCCCATGAATTGCGCTTGATACAAGAATTGATCCGATGCATCATATTATTATTGATCTTCAACTACGATTGGTTCAACGGTGGAGATCCGTTAACTTTCATTTTCACCGGGACCCAACTTTGCAAACTTATATCAATTTTAATTCTAGGTGAGGAGGTTTTGAGATACATGTATTTATAGTTTTATGAAGAAAAAAGATCATTTGATCCCCTACGTATATATAAAGTAAGCAGTTAGTTTCAAAATGGTATATTAATTAACTGCATACAAAACCAAGATGCTTTACTGATGGATTTGTGGCGATCACCGGTGAATTGACTATCATCGACGAATTTTTCTGTCTATGATTGAAATTTCGTCAATAATGACAACCAGCGGCCACACTTTCTACGGCCATGAGATCCGCCGATAATCCATCAATGACGACTTCTTCCTGAGGATTACCTACAGATTTTTTTCATCACTGAAATCTCTTTGTTTTATAGTTACAATCAAAATGTGGTAGACTGGTAGCCACCTATTATATATCTGGTTTGTCTTCTTAAAACAAGACGGCATGGGTTGAACCGAAACTTACAGATTAAAAGACTATTTTATAAAAAGCCATCGTGGATCTTCAAAACAAATTATTTTAATTATTTAGATTTATAATAATTATTTTGAACAAATGACAATAGCAGATTAGTTGAGATTTATACGTAAATTCCCATAATAAAAATAAAAATGAATTTACGTTATGGCTGTCATTCCATTAATCCCGAAAAAAGTCGGTTTAGTAAGCTAATTAACATAAAAAAAGGTCGGTTTATTTTCGAATTAAAATATAATCCACTGATAACCGCCTTTTTTGATTTGTCGGCGCCCATGCATATACACAGCTACGTTTGACTTATAATTAACTAACACCAAAATCATCAACTATTTATAATTCCTTTGCTTAGTTGTGCCCATTAATTCCATTTCAAGGTCTCTTCGCTTATCTCCCTCTCAATTTCATTTCTTTAAATATATATAATATAATTAATTCTACACATTAATTTATTATCTTATAAACCAGATTTATCAAAAGTCTTAAAAACGATTTTTAATGTACAAAGTATTATATATTTATACACAAAGTCTTAAAAATAACTCATAATGCATTAAGTACTACTACTTTATGCATTTAGTCTTAAAATCTCTTAATTTACAATTAAAATAACATATAATACAAGTTACCAATGCATATTTTTTTTTCATGTTCCCAAGATACTTTTGATACATTTCACTCATGTCTTCACCCTCTCATACATCTATGTCTTCTCCCCATCCCCCAAGGTGAGATTCAATCTGATATTCACCATGAGTTATTAAAGTTCTCTCATTCATCTCCCATTCAATTGCTCTAGAACTCTCGTTCTCGGTCTCGATATCTTGATTCTTTGCTCTTGGTGTAAATCG